AAAAAAAAAAAAAAAATTGTATCAAGACCGATAAGAACGTACTGTAATAGTGCTACGTGCGCTTAACGGCGTGATGGGACGATCACGAGGTCGCGAGAGCCTCGGACCAAACGCTCTGACTCACAGAGGCGGCGGGATGATCTTTTCTATGCCTGCGCTTTAACTACTGTACATACTTGAACTCCCTTCCCACCTATTTTTAGTGTTGGCCCTTGCCACAATGTCACGCGTAACTCGACGCCATCTGTTAAGTCAGAGCTTGTTGAATGTCACTTGACAGAGGCAGGGGCGTCGCGATCACCTTCCTGTCCGCTCTCCCCAGCCCAGCGGCCTCATGGACTCTGAGGGACAAGCCAGACTGTCCCGGGCCTGTCGCCTCCTTTTGCCGGGCCCGGACATGGATGAGGACGACGGCGAGGTGGTGATCAGCATCAGGCCCAAGTCCTCTCCTCTGCCGCGGCGAAGGAGCTCGCTCTCCGACGACGACTCGGAGCCCGAGCTGCCGCCTTGTGCCTCCAGGAGGGTGTCCTTTGCCGACGCCAAGGGTCTAAGTTTGGTGCAAGTCAAGGAGTTTGATTTGTGGGATGTGCCCAACCCGCCGGGAATGGAGTGCCTGGATGACGAGGGACTGTCTACAGAGGAATACTGCCTGTCTCCGCTGACTTTCCAATTGCCGTTGTCTCCGGAGGATCTGCTGGTTAGGGTCCAGGAGCAGAAAATAGAGTTGGAGTCCCTGGAGTTGATCCCGGGAACCAGCACGCTAAAGGGGCTGATCTGTGTCCTCAACATGTCCTTCCACAAAGCCGTCTACGTGCGGACCACTTTGGACTGCTGGGCCAGCCACTTTGATCTCCTGACCGAGTACATCCCCGAATCCGGAAACGCTCACACGGACCGCTTCTCCTTTAAGCTCACCTTAGTGCCACCCTTCCGAGAGCAGGGGTCCCGAGTTGACTTTTGTCTGCGTTACGAGACGCCCGTGGGAACCTTCTGGGCCAACAATAACCACCGGAACTACATCCTCTTCTGCCACCAACGAGCAAAGGAGCCGAGGGAGAAGCCCCAGACGCAAACTGCGCAGAAGAAAAGCTGCCTCAAAACTCTGAGGTACGACGGGGCACTCTAACAGCGCACCGCAAAACAAGAGTGTGGATG